TTCCGTTAATACGAATGAATATCAGCAATCAGTTCAGGGTGAAGAATACTTTTCGGTAACTCTCATCGGACCCAAAGGTTTACATAAAACTGGTAGTGGAGAAAGCCTCAACTCGGCCTGGGATTGACCCCTGGGCTGTTTGAATGATCAAAACCGATAACTTGAGACAGAGATAGAGATGGTAAACCAAGTAAACTAAATAAACATGCATACGCAAAGCAGAGTAGTCCAAAGTAATTAAGTAGGTAAGATAACAGCCAAATAACTAAGTAACAGTGTGCATTGGCCAAGGTAGTACAATCCGCTGTAGGAATCGGTTTTGTACACATAATTCCGGCTTCAGATGGTGAATGTAGATAGCCCCGGCGATGGGTAAGAGCTGTCTGCGGAATCCTTGGGAGAAGTGTTCAGGTAGTGAGTAAATGACTTTGAAGTCATTCTCTGAAGCTGTGTGGCCACATTCAAGGAGGTGCGACATGATTGAGCTGTCTGAAGACCTCATTTCGCCTTTGTAAAACCATGTCGGGATGTGTTCACGAATCCTCTGAGATAGGCGTCTTGTCGTGCGACCCACGTATCGTACACCACAGGAGCACGAGTACTGATAAACGATCATTGAACGGGTCAACGACGGCAGTCTATCCTTCAAGGGTTTTGTAAGCAACGGCTTGTTGTGAAAAACGATTCTCAGGTGGGTCGCGAAATAAGTTTTCTCGACAGCATCTTCCAGGCGTCTGGATAACATATCAGCTGCAGAATCACCCTTAAAGGGTATATGTATGAAAAGCTCTTTCTTAAGTGCAATACTCCTAGGCGGTTTTCGATTGCGTTCCTTCAAATGTTTCTTGATAAATTTATCAGGACAGCCATTTTCCCTGAGGACGTCGGTGATTCTCTGTAGTTCTTCGTTGACGGTATCCGATTCATTGAAGGAAATCAATACAACTCGTCGAAGTCTCGATTCACGGTGATGAGTTGAGTGCAAGTGACGAATGACCCGCATAAGTTTGTTGGGCATAGCCACAATACTCAAAATGTCACATACGAAGCTCCAATGGCTCGCATCATCAAGTTGCTTTCGTTTTAAGGACTTGGATTTCGGTTCTGGAACGTAAGTGCAGACTACCCTTGGTACACAAGGTGGTTTCACAATGACTATTTGTGTAGCCTGGGTTGAGGTCGACAGCGCTGGTGGTTTGCATACAATGGGTGGGGCTGGGCAGCTACAGCTTGGCCTGCTTCAATTATTTGGTGGGAGTAAATGAAAGCCAAAGTTTCCGAGTTCCTTTTGGCAACAACACCATTCCAACCAACATATGTGTCAACGCCATTCTGAAATTTCGGAGTAGTTTGGAAAGTGGCCGAGGCTTTAATCTACATATTCCAGTCGGACTGGGGATGGCTGATTCAAATGTGTTCGGACCACTGGTGGTGTTGACACACTCAGTGAGGTTGCTCGGCCTCCTACGTTAGTTTTGAAACGGAGCCTCTTGGGATGAGCTGGGACCTGCTTTCTGTAAAGCTTTCACCTAAGGAAGGTATTTGAATGCTTCTCATTTGTTAAATCGTTGCCATCAGTCTTTCATATTTCTGAAAAAGTTCGTGTACAGTCTGCTGCAGTTGGTAGCTCATAATATAGACCTCGGATATGACTTTCCTTTGAGACCACAAATGTTGCCGTGCGACTTGGGATTTAGAAAGTTGTGCCCGGGTATTTCTGCTGGAAGGGTGCAAAACTGCGGTATGGAGGTAAACATTGATTCACCAAGTGAAATCCGGAAGTTAGAGTGCATTAAACGGTGCTGGTGAAACTGGAACGAATGAGTGTGAGCACACACGTGTGCGATGAGAATTGTGAGAGCAAATCCGGTTTGATTACGAGGTCAGAAAGAATGTGAGCGTACGGAGTGTCACACTTAGGACCAATGATCAGAAAACTACTATTCTACACTAGGACTATAACCCATTTGGTACAAATGTGAATCCTGGCCCGACTGAGTAGCCACCAGTTAGCCTTGCGAATTTAAAGGAACGATCAGTTACTACCACTGAGCATTACTTACTTGAGTTGGCAGCGGCGTGTAGTAACTATGCGAGGAACATTTGAGCTCTAAATCTTCAAGTAATTTTGAATAAGTTGCGGGAATTAGCGCTCAGACTACATATGTCCACCTACTATGTATCGACGAGAATATTGTCCTGATTATTGGAGTTTGGACAGCGCCAAAAGCACCTGTGTGTCCATTAGTCTGGCAGTGGGAAATGAAGCCACTATTCAACCTCATCTTCCAAACCAAGGTCAACGGGGTCCGACCCTTGTTGTGCTCGGGAAATTGCCGAACAAAGCTGTCAACCATAACTACTGGCGCGTCAGAAGTCCTCCCCTGGTTGGCTTGCTTGTTTAACTTGTGCCTGATTTTGGGTTATCTATGGGGCAAGACTGGTTGTAAACCGGATTTGTGAGAACCACAGGGAAACTGGAGCATAGACGCAGCAATGTTTGTATATGGCAGTGTTGCGCAACCTCTTTGAGGCTGCGATCCTGAATAAGCATAGAGAAAATGCCCGCGGGCCGGTTACATTCCTCCCCATATATTGCTCAAAAGTACTTGATCTGGTGCTACCTTCCAGCGACTGCAGACACAATGAAGCAAATCCATGTAAGGGTACAAAATAGCCAAGTTAAAGCGTTTACTCACACCATATGATTCTAGTCGAGTCTCCACCAGGTTACTGTTACTTTCGTTCCAGCAACAAATCGTTACGCTCCAATAAGAGGCTTGCGCTTGCATTTCAGACACGATTTATTGTATTTTAGGTTCAAGCTGATTAAAACTTATTCGCAAGAGTTCGTGGAAATGCCGATATGTTATCCGTGCAGGGTACTACGGCTAGGTTTGCTTCATTGTGGAAAAGGTTTGTTCCCATATGTATGTGCTTACCATTTTAATGGCGATGTGGCGAAGATTCGAATACGCAACCAAAGGGAGAAGTGAATAAATATTAAGCAGGGACTTTTCGCCCTACAGGTCCTGCAACTTTGTTGAGCAGTGCAGGTCAATCAGTTCTAATTATAATCTAGGTAGCATTGTCGCACCATTTGTGCCAAACGAGTTTACAAACAATAATATTGCTTCACTAGTATTATGGAAGCCTTGAAATCCTTCACTGAAATTGTCCTTTAAGTGGTTAAGCATCTCGACCGTGCGGCGTATCGGAAAGGGCACGCCGACTGTTTATGTATCCGACCACAGTTCTGAACAAATAGGAAAATGCGCAAGGTGCTTTGCTATACACCCTGAATGAAGAGCTGCAACTTCACTTCGAACTATTTTACATCGCCGTAGAGGTGAGAAATCAATTTGCCCTGACCCTTTAGTCTGGTATTGAGGTCATTCAGGTGAGCAGTCAAATCAAGTCAAATTGCTAGATCCCATAACTATTCGGGATTTGAAAAGTGTAGTATAGCTTTTAATTTCACTGTCATAAAAATTTCGATGTTATGTCTGTGCCGGAAGAACCTGTAGAATATTTTTCCTCGACTCAGCCATCGAACTTCATTGTGGCACATAGTCGTCGTACTCGGTCTCAATTGCTTGTAGAATGTCTTTGAAGATTCTGTGGTTACTGGTATTGGTTCGTAGAAAATTCACTTCACTTACTGTTGTCGCCTTGACGAGTTCCAAATGTTACACTTTACCACCCAATACCACCTGAGGATTTATGCGATTTAGTTTCATCTGATTTGAACTACAATCGGATTCCTCTACTTTATGATGTAACTTTGCCACTAGACCGTTATGCTTTACAACCGTGTTTTTGGATCTTATGCTGGTCACTCCAAGCGACTTTATCCACGGCAAATTAGGTGCAGCATTATTTGTACTGACTACAGGAAAGAGATCTGCTATCGTTGTGCCATGCATACTTTTCAATCATGCAAGTTCTTTCGTAACTTCGAAAGTATTGCTAATTCCCATAATGAAAATTAGCAGTTGTGAAGTGTCGGTTATTTCTGTCGACTTGCTTGAAATTCCAGTGCTTTCTCATATAGTTGTGTCAACAAGTTCGGCCTATCGTCCTCCACACGTCACGTAGTGGTACAACGGGAAATACTAGCATCTTCAAAAGTTCCCTTTTTCTGGGAAAAGCTCCTCGGTAACAGCCAGCAAGCAGTTCTTAACTAACTCCCAATCTGTGAAAGCTTTGCACCTCTTGTCAAGGATGTTGGCAACACGATAACTTGGTTTAATGGTAGTCACGTCTTCTTCTAATCGTTCGCTGAAAAACTGTTTTCAGTCCACTAGCTTCCTTTTGAAACAGCTATTTTTTCATCTCGAAATCGATCCGTGAATTCGTAGTGCGGAACTTTGTGTCTGTATATGATGTTTCGCCACATTATGTTACTTAAGAGCGGCGAAGGTTTCCTTACATATCAAACAAAGCTGCTCGTCGTTATGTTGAGCAAGAAATCCGTTGTCTCTCTTTCTTGTAATGTCTTGAATGCAGATACCACTTTCGCCTTTTTTGTTAACTCCTATTTGTTATAACCGTTCCACATGCTCACAGTGCTCTGGAATGAAACCGTGCCTCTTCTCTACAATGGAATGCCTTGGCAGACTGGCTCACGCCCGCGGGCGGAAAGTTGAGTGCCATGGGTATCTGGTGACACCATGAATGCGCCTGAGCCTTGTTTGGAGCGCGTAGGCGTCTTGACAACAACTGTTCACTACAAGTACTTAAACTGAATACAGAGACGCATCAATTCCAGGTTATCCACATTCGCAGGGTCTTCTTGGCTGTGGTATCGATGACCCGGTACAAACTACGGATATACCTCTGCTGATGATGCTGATGGCACAGTTATATAGGCCTTATTTAAAAAGGAATGAACGCAAATCGCGTGACGGCGACTGCTCGTTTTCCAAATCGTCTACAGCAAGGGGTAACAAGAACACGATTTTTAGGCATGATAGTCACCGGAACGACATAGGTCTTACCTGTGCTTTGAACAGACTCGACCTCATTTTCGTCTCTCCTTCCACCTGCAGATTATCAAACGCAAGAGTCACACGCATTCGAAGGATCCTTTTTGACAAGTTGATGACGTGGATGGGGCCGGTTAACTGTGTCAGCTCCAAACCTTGAATGTTGAAGTTCCGCAGCTCCAGCATTCCCACTTTCAAGGGAAGTTCTATGTGAACCAGAGCTTCGTTCTTCGTTCGCAAAAAGCGCATGAAAGTTTCACGAGCGAAGCTATCCGAAAGTAGGTGAGTGCATACTTCAGTTCCTGTCTGTTTCGTGCGGTACTCTAGATTGTTATTAGGGGAGGCTGAAATACAAGGTAATATGTATGTAGACGCAGCGGATAAATGGCTGGTCAAATAGCTTTTGGTGATGGCAAGCCATGTAGGTACGTGAAACCAGGGTCCAATTTGATAATATGCACTCAATGCAGAAGCACAAACATTCCAGTTATAGTATGTGATCATACCAATGATTGTGAGGCATGAGTATCATCGCTTAGCTCTAAACTCCTCTCAGTGAAGTAAAACTGGCGGATAAGGCCAAACGGACCAACTTTATGTAACACTAAACAATCTGATATGAAAAGCACGGAAAGAAGACGAAGGCTGGTAGATGCATGCATTTCGTATTGTCTCCACAGTACCATTAACAATAACCGATAAGCATAGATATAGCTAACAGTGAGTGCAACCAGACAAGCTTAAGGTGCAAAATGAATGACGGAAGTTCACACCTACGTCCAAGGCAGCTGTAGGCTGACAAATAATTGTTTCTGAACACACAAGGCTGGCTTAATCCGGCTAATTGCGACAGCCTCAGCAAACCCAAGGAAGCGGGGATTAGTGTGACGTAACACAACTTTAAACGCTGAGCCCAGCTCTAATTGGTGACCCGAGTCTAATAGGTGTTTAATGGTGGTGTTTAATAGGTGTTTGCCTATCGAGGAAGCCGGCGGTCTGCGCGAACATGGAATCTGACGAGGGTAGGCAATCTGAGCAACTTCACGTTTAACCCATCTTGGCACACTTTCCTTTATTCGGGAAGTCAACGTTCTATTGGTTCTACCTATGTAACTTTTTCCGCAGTCACATAAAGATTGGTATACACAGTGTGAGTTGGCCCCAATAGGCTGAGCTTCCTTCGTTGGAGGTATTGGCAAATTTCGGGTTCGGTTGATAACGGCAACTTGTGCAGCATAGTAACTTCCTTGTGTAACCGAAATTATACGCTTAGTTGTCTTCAGCGTGGCTAAGTCACTTTTGAAAAGTAACTCGATATACACTTTCTTCTTGGCTGCCGTGTGCACCAAGTCCTTTGGTCCTCGCGGTTGGCTGTGTTTCTCGATAAATCTTCGAGGGTAGCCATTCGCCATTAGTGTTGCTGTAATTAACTCTAGCTCATCGTCCAGACAGTCGGCCGAACAAATTCGTCTGGCAAGACTAACTAGAGTCTCCACAAGTGTCCTTTTGTACCGAACTGGTGTGAAGCTGGTGAAGTGCAGGTACTGACCGGACCAAGTCGATTTTCGGTAAATTGACCTCTTAATCAATCCACCCTCCCTGCGAGTTATGAGTATGTCCAGGTATGGTAGACAATTGTTTTGTTCTCTTTCACATGTAACCCGTAAGTTAGCGTGAGCACCATTGAGCCGTTCTACCAAATGTGTGAGCTGCTGCTCCGACGAACAGAAAGCCAAGATATCATCGACATTTCTTTTGTAGTATGGCACCTGGGATATTTCTGTAGAAATGCTTCTTTCTACCATCAACATGAAGAAATTAGCGAGCACAGGACCCAATGGGCTGCCCATTGCTACGCCGTCAATCTGACGGTATGGCGTATTCCGGAAATGAAAATCCACATTCTCCGTGCACAATAGTAGAGATTCTCTTAGCAATTCAGTCGGAATTGGTAGCGAACAGCCACCGTTTTCAGCTAATTCGAACACGTAATCAACCGTCTGATGTAGCGCACGTTGGTAAGTAAGGAATCTACATCCAAGGAACATATAACTTTGTCTGACAGGTTGAGTTCATCCAGATCATCAATGAGTTGAAACGAGTCTTTAAGACTGTACGGATTGAACCGATATGAGCCAGAACATTTCAAGGCGGGAGGATTTCACGAACGACGGTATATTTTTAACGGCACCTCGCCTTTATTTTGCACTCTATAAAGACTTCTACTTGCGGAACATCGCACATGCAACCGAATCTCGAAAATGGCACGATAATCCTTCAACTTGCTGCAACTCTACCCATCTTTCCAGCTTCTCCTTAGATTCATCTTGACACGCTTGCTTTTTTAAAGGTTAACGCAGTCGTTACTCAGTGACTATCAGTAGCAGCATCCTCCACCGAATACCTCCGGCAACATTCGCCAAAAGGAAATATCTTGGAACTATAGAAAAACTGCGTCACGTTCCCATTTACTGATTTCGGTCTGAGACTACCTTAGTCAGTAGACACCAAGGATGCGACACAGAGTCGGTGAATACTGCAGCTCCTGAGATTCATCAACCAAAATTGCCTTCTATGTTCCTGACATGCACCGAACCGTCGATATTGCGCAATGTTCATCCTGTTTCCACCAACAGACGTAATTTATGTTGCATAGTCAAAACGACAAATATATTGTCACAACTAATCGTGACTATAGAATGAACAGGGTTTTACAATAACTGCCTATTAACCTCTGTCAGTAATCTCCCGAATAGTTTACGCGTTCTCCCTGTTAAACCCAAATTTTCCTTTGTTAACAAAGGAAGTTTCAGGTCTGTTCAACGGTGTCCTCTGCACATTCGCAACGCATGTACGTGGGTGAGCAACCGCTCTATAGCAGAATGAATAGACAGGCATAACCTTCCAACACTATCGCTTAAGGCGCAGTGGCTTTAGTCACTAGCTCGCAAGATCAAGGTAACAGGTTCGCGCCCAGCGGAATCCAACGGATGCGCACTAAAGGCGAGCTAAAATAGGGCGAAAATGCAACAGCGCCTTTCCGAATAAATGTTGTCTGTCTGACTGAGTACGATTGCTACGAAACTTCTCGAAAATGTTGTTGACCTATCTATGCAGAGTGAGCTTACTGATTTGACACTAGGAAGGCCATAAACATGGTATAATAGCACAAGTACAAAATAATAAATGTGTGCGCGAACTTTACTTCTTCACTGCCTTATGAAGCTTAAGAGTTTATTTCAATCGTTTAATACTTCAGTCAGATGCGCAGTTAGTGACTTTCTACTAGGTTACCAGGTCTCCTTGGAAATTTTATTCTTTTGTGCTGAACCTCGTATTTTGTAGTTTTCGTTTTTTACTGCTATTATCCACAAAGATGGAGACTCCTGAGCGTTACGGGGAGCTCCTCATATTCTTATCAGCGCTTTCTTGTACACACTGTTTTCGTACTTTTCATGGTCTTAGTGTTTTGATTTCCAACTTGTAGGTACTCAGCACTGAAGTCCTTGAATCCGAGGTTCTATTCCAGGTGGCTGCCAACGACTGAGTTCGTTTCCAAGCACCCATGCAACGAGTCGTCAGCCCACATACACAACGCCGTAAACATTCAAACCGAAACCTCATGAATGTATACTATTGTGTGGTCCTGAAATCAATTAAATCTTTTTTTCGATACGAATCCAATATTCTTTGGAACAATAATCTCACATTGTCCAACTAGCCAACATTTTAGCAATGGCTGTGGTATTGGCATCTAGTCAACAAGCCATTCGCAGATGCTTGTTGCACGTCTTCCTACCAGGACGCAAGTCAGTCGAGACTTGTCGAAACCGACGCGCCTTACTAAGGACGTAGTCTCCAGCTCATGGTGTGATAGCATTTTGGCTCCGTCGATTTAAAGTAGGGACCTATGGTTTGTCAAACATCAGAGATCAAGAATGCCAGCCAGAGGATAGTGTCGGCAACATTCAGGACGCTCCGGAGTAGGACCCTAGTCCAAGTGTGCGTGAAGTTTCGTCACAATTTGACCTTCCGAAACCCTCGTTCATCGCCATCTGTGCCAATCAGGAATGGTCCAAGAGTTAAAACAACTGGTACCACACGAATTAGTTGATGATCAGGTTCTGAACCGTTGTGACGTCGCACTTTCATTGCTCGCCCGAAGACGCATTCAGTGAAGCCTGGATGATGTTGTTACTGGTGATGAGAAGTGGGTGCTCCGTGTCAACCATAGCGGAAAGTGTCAGTGGGTCCCAGCAGCTGAAAGGCCAGTACAATTCCCGAAATGCGAATTTCACGGTAAAAGTTGATTCTGTTGGTTTGGAGGGATGGCCGCGGCGCCACCTAATGGGAAATGCTCCCTGACAATTCCACGGTTACTACCAATGGCTACTGCCAACAACTGCATAAGCTGATCGACGAACGAATGTTGCTCACTTGCATGAGATCAATTATCACGAAAAGATTTCATCAGGCAGCATCTCTCTTATCCCTGTATTGTTTAGGAACGCAATGCTCCAATTGAACAGAAAGTCCAAGAGTGGCTCGAATCCCTCTCCTGCTTGACAACGCACGCATTCATGTGGCAAAGCGGTCTCAAAATTCCGTAGCTCATTGTAGAGGATATGATTCTTCCAGCGCATAGCCTGACATTGACCTACTGACTACCACGTTTTCCGATCACTGCACAGACAAATTAAGGAAAAGAAATTCGATGACTACGACCACATTGAAACGTACCTTGTCCAGTACTTCGGCAGCCAGCCAAGCTCGTTCTGTACCTGAGCGTTGATCGCACATCCTCGTTAACAATATACGTCATAATGCCTAATTAACCTTGTTTGTTTAAAACAGTTGTTGGTTTTGAAATTTGTGCGGATTTCGGGAGCACCCAGTATTTCGAAGTGTGAAGCGTTGTGCGATCAGGCTGCTGTACAAATGGTACATTCTTCGACTAACTCATGAGTCACTCCAACCTGCTGTCTTGAACAAAGCCTCCAGAGTGGTGCAATGAGGGACAGTTCTGTGTTGTAGAATCCAATTCTAAGGATTCACTCATCGAATCCTGTGTGAATCTGTGCTGGCTGCCGACCTTTTGGACTCAGGGTGTGTCCACCGGAATCTTTGCTAACGTAGCAGGTATGCACTCGAATTGTGCTCCGGTATACTTCGCTAACTTGACGATTGGAACCAACCAGCAAATAGTTGAAAGATCGGATTATTGAGTCGAACCAACCGCTTGCACACACTTGTCCGAAGTCGCACGTACAAGCCAACATTTTTCCGGATATAGATATATATATTCGACATTTTACCAATTACAATACAATTGGCTGAGTGCCAC